TCTAGAAGTTGTGTTGTTTAATTGCCATGTATTTGATGATTTTCCAGCTGTCTTTTACATATCTAGTTTAATTCTATTATGTTCTGAGAACAGATATTGTATGATATCTATTAAAATTTGTGTGGGTGTGTGTTATGGCTCAGAGTATGATCTTCCTTGATGACTGTTCCTTGTGAGCTTGAGAAGAAAGTGTATTGTGTTGTCATTAGATGAAGTAGATGTCAATTCTACCCATAGTGCTGTTGAATTGAGCTATGACCTTACTGATTTTCTGCTTACCGATCTGTTCTTTTCTGATAGCAGGGTGCTGAAATCTCCATCTGTGATAGTGGATTCATCTGTTTCTCCTTTTGTTGTAAGAAGTAATTAGGAATATTTTTGTCGTAAGGACCTTGCAGTACCATGAAGTGGTATAATGCTATCTGAAAGTGAACTTATATTAGTTGTAAATGTGTATTGCAAACTCTAGGGCTACTACTAAAAAAGTTGTATCGATTTTTGCCTAATGTATTTTTATTCTCTGTTGTTAGGCATATACAGGTTAAGGACTATTATGTCTTCTTGGAGAAATGATCCTTTTATTATTATGTAATGCCCCTCTTTATCCCTGATAATTTTCCTTATTTGGAGGTCTGCTGTGTCTGAAATTAATATAGCTACTCTAGCTTTCATTTGTTTAGTGTCAGCATGGTGTATCTTTCTCTGTCCCTCCCCTTTTAGTCTAAATGTGTCTTTATTTTTAAAGTGGGGTTCTTTTAGACAATATATATATAGTTGGGTCTTGATTTTTTATTCACTCTGACAACCTCTGTCTTTAGTTGGTATATTTAGACCATTGATGGTTAAAGTGGCTATAGATAGAATTGGGTTAACATCTACCATGCTTGTTACTGTTTTCTCATTGCTCTGGTTTTTTGTTTCTATTTTTATCTTTCATTGTTTGTCTGCCTTTTGTGGTTTTAATTGAGCGTTTTATATCATTGCATTTTCTCTTTTTTCCTAGCTTATCAAGTATGCTTCTTTAACTTTTTTGGTAGTAGCCCTACAGTTGGCAATACATATTTACAACTAATTCAAGCTCACTTTCAGATAGCATTATACCACTTCATGGTAGTGCAAGGACCTTATGACAAAAATATTCCTAATTACTTCTTACAACAAAAATA